ACCAAAGGCAGCTCCCTAAGCCTGCCCTGGGATGCCAGGTGCCCTGACCCCTCCCCAGATCCTCCAGGCCCTGTATGGCAATGTCTTTCCTGTACTGGGGAGACCAGGATGGAACACACACGAATCCACATGCAGACTCAGGAGTTCCAAAAAAAAAAAAACAGAGAAACATTTATTATTTTTGTGGGTTTGGGCTTTTTTTAGTATTGTTCATTTTGTTTCTTTTTTTTTTTTTTTTTCAATCATTTATTATCCAAACGTACAAGAAGTCCTTCATGCTGAACATCAGCCTTTTTCCTATGAGAACCAAAGTCTTCTGCTTCTCTATGAGAAGAACAGCCGCCTCTGTCACTTTGACAGCTCAAAACTGAACACACTGCTTGAAGTGCAGTCTCACTAGTGCCATGTAAATGGTGGCAATGCATTCCCTGGTCGTGCCAGCCACGCTATTTCTGATGCAGACCAGGACACCTTTGTCCTTCCTGGCCTCCTGGGAACTCTACTGGCTAATGTTCAGTCAGCTGTTGCCCTGCATCCCCAGGTTCCTTCCCGGCCAGCAACTTTTCAGCCCTTCTTCTCCAAGCCTATATTGCACCATGGGGTTGCAATAATCCAAGTGCAGCACCCCACATCAAGCCTTACTATCATGACTGGAGTCAACCCAATGATACAGCCTGTCCATGCCCCTCTGCAATGCCCTCACCCACATCAACAATCCTGCCCAAAGTGGTGGTTTCTGCAAACCAGAAAAAGCTAAAACAATTTTTTCAAACAGAGTTTTGAAACTTAGAAACTCACCAACACTTTAAAAGATTCTCCTATACTACTCTTTTCCTCCCCTCTCCACTTTCCAATTTGCAGCAGTCTCTGCTCATGAATAGAATCATGAATTCATACTCAGCAAAACATTTTGGGACAGTGCAAAGGTCTCCATTTACATGCTTGAAGTACTTCCCTGCTATCAATGGGTGGAGAAAAACTGGTCTCCTGCAGGCTTGGAACCACAAAGAAGTTGCAATACTACTTTTAATTTACTGCATAATTTGTCTTCAATTACACTTTGAAGTTTCCAGCATGACATTCAATTCAACGTGGAGGTCATTTGAGGACAAGTATTCTCTATTCTTAAGGCAGATTAAAGACAATTAAGAAGGTGATGTATTCAGAAACTTTCCGACCAGCACAGAGATTTTCTTCTTCTACCAGCCAAATATATGTACATACATAAATCTTTTGTCACTCTCCATCCCTATCAAACACTGCTTCACAAATTCTAAGTAGCAGGAGATCCTCAGGTTTGTTTGGGATCCATAACGGTTACTTTACTTCCAGATGGGATTAACTTGGCACACTCTTCCTCTGCCTTTACACTGGTTTGAAGAAACAAAAACATCAGTTG